ATTCATTTAGCTCCCTAAACTGTGAGAAGATAAATTTCTGTTTGTTAAAGCCATTTACTTGTATTTCTGTTATAACAGCACTAGTTGACTAGGAAAGCATTTGGTACCAGGAGAGTGGGGGTGCTGCTCTAATGGACAGTTTTGGAACTGGGTAATGGGTAGAGGTTGGAAGAGTTTTAAGGTGCCTAATAGTTAAAGCCTAGATTGTTTTGAAGAGACGTTGGCAGAATTATGAACATCAAAAGCAATTCTGATGAGGGCTCAGAAGGAGGTGAGGAGAGCTATAGAGAAAGTTTCTATCGTCTTAGAGAATACATATGGTGCCAGCAACAGAATGTTGCTAGGAATATGGACATTAAATCTGGTTGTTGTGAAGTTCTGAAAGAAAATAATGAACATGTGATTAAACAATGGAAGAAGGACAAGGTTTTTTACGCAAAGAACTTGCCTGAATTATGGTCAAATGTTTGGTGAATGGTGTTGTTGTTGTTGTTATGTGCCGTCGAGTTGGCCCCGACTCATAGCGACCCCTCCTTGGGTTTCCAAGGCAGTATCACTACAGAAGTAGATTACCCCATCTTCCTTCTGAGGAGTGGCTGGTGGGTGGATGATAGGACTTGTAAATGGTGAACTTGGATATCTGGCTGTTGAGATTTTTAAGCAAGATCTTAAAGGGGCCACATCATTTCTCCTTGCCACTTACAGTAAAAGGGAGAGGAAAGAGATGGGACTTAAATATGAACTGTACAAAATGAAAACAGAACTTAAAGATTTGGAAGGTTCTGTTGTACAAACTAAGGACATGTGTCCTAGAAGTTCACCAAGGATGTGCCTATATAACCTTTTGTTAAGAGGTTAAGCCTGTGACTGATGAACCTAACCAAGTACCACAGCAGAAAACCCATCAGCTTAGATTGAAGGGGACAGAGAAAGAACGAAAGGGGTGAACTATTTCACCCTCTTGGGATCTACTGGCAGGCAATGTGCCAAAGGAGCCACAGCTGTTGTCCTGCAAGAAAAGAAATGGACCAATCCCTGAAGCAGCTCACGGATCAGCAGAACTGTTGGAAGGAGCGTGGGAAGCAGAGGCTTCTTAGTTTCCAATGGTGGGGCCATGGTCTCCTGAATCTCCAAGGATAGGGCCACAACCTCCTGGGTTTGAAAGAGTGACATCTTTGCCAAATCAGCTCTGGAGTGTTGGGCTGCTGGTAAAGTGTACCAGGCACAAGGAGCAACCACCCAGAGCTGAGGGGGCTAGGCTGCAATGCCCAAGGGGCAGAAGAATGAGGCCTGCTGGGGGCAAAGGGTGGGGTTGTCATTTAGATGGACTAAGAGAATGGGGCCACCCAAAACCAAGGGAGCAGAGTTGCCATCCCAGAGGGCCTGGAAGGCACAGCTGAAGCCCAGGACTAAGGGGTCTCCACCCAGAATCCAGAGAGCCTGGCCAACACCCAGAGTATGGAGGGCAGAGCCATTGCTTAGGTAGTTTCAGAGACAAGAGGATTATTTTCAAGCCTTAAGAGCTAATGTAAATTGTTCTGCTGGGTTTTGGACTTACTTGGTGGTGGTGCAGTGGTTAAAGTAGTGGGCTGCTAACCAAAAGGTCAGGAGTTCAAACCTACCAGCTATTCCTCAGAAGAAATGTGGCAGTCTGCTTCTGTAAAAATTTACAGCCTTGGAAACCCTATGGGTCAGTTCTATTCTGTCCTTTAGGGGTGCTGTTGAGTCAGAAATGACTCAACAACAGTGGGTTTGGCTTAGTGCCTGTTATCCCTTCTTTCTCTCTAATTTCTCCCATTTGTAATGTAAATGTCTACTTTATGTCTGTTCCACTATTGAACCTCAGGGACAGATAACTTGTAATCTAGATTGCACATGTTCACGGATGAAGAGGAATTTTGTCCCAGGATGGAATATACATAATGTCTATTTAGATGATTCAGAAGATGAGATTTTGGACTTGGAGTTGATGTAAGGCTTTTGGGATGATGTAATAGGGCAACTGTGTTTTGCATATGGGAAGGACATAAAATTTGGGGGCCAAAGGGTGGAATGTTATGGATTGAATAGTAACCCCCCCCTCCCCAATATATGTTGTAAATCGTAACCTCTATGCCTCTGGTTGGGAGCTCTGGTGGCATAGTGCCTAAGGCATTTGACTGCTAACCAGAAGGCTGGCGGTTCAAACCCACCAGCCACTCCTCGGAAGGAAGGTTGG